GGAATGGCATTCCCGAGAACTCACCCTGTGGAAAATCCCTTTTCCCGTCGTCATTCCCGATTTTTTGCCACATTCCCAGTGAGGAGGGAAATTCCAGGTTTTCTTTTTCGGGATCCATCCCTTGGGAATTTTCTTCCCGTTGGGAAAATCCCGAGGATTTGGGGCTGGAAAGGGAAAAAAAAAAAATCCGGATTGATTTTTGGTAAATTTGGGGAATTTTTCAAAAGGAAAAGGGCCCAGGAATGTGGGAATGGGAGGGGATTTTTGGGATCAAGGACAGAGAATTCCAGAGGGAAAGGATGGAAAGAATTCCAGAGGGGAAAGGAGAATTCCAGAGGGAAAGGGCAGAGAATTCCAGAGGGAAAAGGACAGAGAATTCCAGAGGGAAAAGGAGAATTCCAGAGGGAAAAGGAGAATTCCAGAGGGAAAGAGAGAATTCCAGTGGGAAAGGATGGAGAGAATTCCAGAGGGAAAGGGACAGAGAATTCCAGAGGGAAAGAGAGAATTCCAGAGGGAAAGGACAGGAAAAGCTCCGGAGGGAAAGGGAGAATTCCGGAGGGAAAGGGCAGAGAATTCCAGAGGGAAAAGGAGAATTCCAGTGGGAAAAGACAGAGAATTCCAGAGGGAAAGGGAGAAATCCAGAGGGAAAGGGAGAATTCCAGAGGGAAAGGATGGGAGAATTCCAGAGGGAAAAGATGGGGAGAATTTCAGAGGGAAAAGGAGAATTCCAGCGGAAAAAGGATAATTCCAGAGAGAAAGGGAGAATTCCAGAGGGACACGACAGAGAATTCCAGAGGGAAAGAGAGAATTCCAGAGGGAAAGGATGGGGAGAATTCCAGAGGGGAAAAGGAGAATTCCAGAGGGAAAAGGAGAATTCCAGCGGGAAAAGATGGAGAGAATTCCAGAGGGAAAAGATGGAGAGAATTCCAGAGGGAAGAGGAGAATTCCAGCGGGAAAAGGACAGAGAATTCCAGAGGGAAAGGAAGAATTCCAGAGAGGAGAATTCCAGCGGGGAAAGGGGAATTCCAGAGGGGAAAGGAAAATTCCAGAGGGAAATGGAGAATTCCAGCAGGAAAAGGAGAATTCCAAAGGGGAAAGGAGAATTTCAGAGGGGAAAGGAAAATTCCAGAGGGGAAAGGAAAATTCCAGAGGGAAAGGACAGAGAATTCCAGAGGGAAAAGGAGAATTCCAGCGGGACAGGGAGAATTCCAGAGGGAAAGGATGGAGAGAATTCGGAAGAGGAGAATTCCAGAGGGAAAGGACAGGGATTATCTCAAGGGAAGGGACACGGAGAATTCCAGAGGGAAGAGGAGAATTCCAGAGGGAAAATGAGAATTCCAGAGGGAAGGGACAGAGAGGGCCCTGAGGGCTCTGAGCCGCGCCCCGCGCTGACCCCGCCGAAGGCCAAGAGCCGAACCGGGCGGGCGCTCCCCGCTCCGAGTGCCTGCAGGGACCCTACAGGGCTTGACAGTCCCCAAAAGAGGTTTAGAGACCCAAAAATCCCACAAAATAACCCAAAAAAATTTTAAAACCCCAAAAAAAAATTTTAAAAAACCCCAAACCCTCCCTGAGGGCTCACCCTCACCTCAAATCGCGCGCCTCAGCGCCGCCGGAAGTGCGTCATCACGCCACCCGCCGTTCCGTACAACAAGATGGCGGCGCCCTGTKGTACGGTACCTCCAGCTTGTTCCCATCAGCCCCCGCGGTGCCGTACGGCAGCATGGCGGCCACGGGARCGGCGGCGCTGGTGCAGTACGTGGTGCTCCGCGGGGATCTGGCGCGGCCGCCGCTGTCGTGGCCGCTCGGGGCCGTGGTGGCTCAGGGCTGTCACGCCGCGCTCGCCGCCGTTCACGCGTACCGGGAGAATCCCGACACCGGGGCGTACCTGGAGCAGGGGGACGCCATGAGGACCGTGGTGCTGGAGGTAGCGGCGGGAGCGCGGGGCATGATGGGAACGGCGCTCTGAGGGGAGGGAGGGCGCCATGTTGGGGGGGGCGGGGGTCTGAGGGGAACTTGGGGAAAAATTGGGGAAATTGGGAAAACGAATGGGGAAAAGGGAGGGAAATGGGGAGAAAAGAGGAAGAAAATGGGGCAAAAAGTGGAGGAAAAGGGCAAAAAGAGGAGGAAAAGCTCGCAGGGCATGATGGGAGAGGTGCCCTGAGGGGAAGGAGGGCGCCATGTTGGGGGGGGCAGGGGGCTGAGGAAAAATTGGGAAAAATGGGGAAAAGGGAGGGAAATGGGGAGAAAGGAGGAAGAAAATGGGGCAAAAAGAGGAGGAAAAGGGCAAAAAGTGGAGGCAAAGGGCAAAAAGAGGAGGAAAAGCTCGCAGGGCATGATGGGAGAGGTGCGCTTAGGGGAAGGAGGGCGCCATGTTGGGGGTGGCAGGGGTCTGAGGGGAAATTGGGGAAAAACTGGGGAAAAATTGGGGAGAAGAGAGGGAAATGGGGAGAAAGTAGGAGGAAAATGGGGAAAAGAGGGGGAAAAGGGTAAAAAGAGGAGGAAAATAGGGAGAAATGAGGGGGAAAAGGGAAAAAAGAGGAGGAAAAGAGGAGGAAAAGGGCAAAAAGGGGGGAAAATTGGGGAAAAGGGCAAAAAGATGAGGAAAAATTGGGGGAAATTGGGGAAAAGGGCAAAAAGAGGAGGAAAAGGGCAAAAAGAGGAGGGAAAGGGCAAAAAAGAGGAGGAGAGGGTGAAAAGAGGAGGAAAAGGGCGAAACGAGGGGGAAAAGAGCAAAAAGATGAGGAAAAGGGCAAAAGAGATGAGTAAAAATTGGGTAAAAGGGCAAAAAAGAGGAGGGAAAGGGCAAAAAGAGGAGGAAAAAGGCAAAAGGGAGGTGGAAAAGGGCAAAAAGAGAGGGAAAGGGCAAAAAGATGAAAAAAAAGGGAAAAAAGTGGAGGAAAGGGGCAAAAAAGAGGAGGAAAAATTGGGGAAAAATTGGGGGAAAGGGCAAAAAGAGGAGGAGAATGGCAAAAAGAGGAGGAAAAATTGGGGAAAAGGGCAAAAGGAGGAGGAAAAGGGCAAAGGGAGGAAAAAAGGGAAAAAAGTGGAGGAAAGGGGCAAAGAAGAGAAGGAAAAATTGGGGAAAAGGGCAAAAGGAGGAAAAAAGTGGAGGAAAGGGGCAAAAAAGAGAAGGAAAAATTGGGAAAAGGGCAAAAAAGAGGAGGAAGGCGGCAAAAAGGAGAAAAAAGGACAAAAAGAGGAGTAAAAGAGGAGGAAAAGGGCCAAAAGAAATGAGGAAAAATTGGGGAAAAGGGCAAAAAAGAGGAGGAAAAGGGGCAAAAAGAGGAGGAAGGGGGTAAAAAGATGAGGAAAAGGGGAAAAAGAAGAGGAAAAGGGGAAAAAGAGGAGGAAAAGGGCAAAAGAGAGGAGGAAAAATTGGGGAAAAGGGAAAAAAGGAGGAAAAGGGCAAAAAGAGGATGGGAATAAAGCGGGAAAGCGGAAAACCGGAGGGAAAACCTGCCCCCAAATCCATCGGGAATTCTCCCGGGAATTTTCCCCGGCATTCCCGATATTCCGCAGGCTCCGGACGAGCAATCCCTGCTGGAGGTGCAGCGGCGGCTGCGGGAGGAGGGCATCGAGCACCGCCTGTGGATGGAGAACCCCGAGGGCGTCCCCACGTGCCTGGCGCTGCGGCCGTACCCCAAAGAGAGAGTGCAGAGCCTCCTGCGCCACCTCAAACTGCTGCGATGACTGCACACGGCTTTTCCTTGGAATTCTCTGTTTTCCTGAAATTTTTGGTGTAATTTTATCACCTATTTTCTGGAATTTTCAGTGACTTTATCATGGTTTTCCTGAAATTTTCAGTATCTTTATCCTGTATTTCCTGAAATTTTTGGTGTATTTATCACGTATTTCCATGAATTTTCAGTGTCTTTATCACAGTTTTTATGGAATTTTCAGTGACTTTATCACGGTTTTTCCTAAAATTTTCGGTGACTTTATCATGTATTTTCAGGAATTTTCAGTCACTTTATCGTGTATTTCCAGGAGTTTTCGATGTCTTTATCATGTATTTCCTGGAATTCTGTATGACTGTATCCTGTTATTTCTATGAATTCTCTGTATCTTTATCCCAAATTCTCAGTGTCTTTATTGCAGTTTTTCCTAAAATTTTCGGCGACTTCATCATGGATTTTCTGGAATTTAAGGTGTCTTTGTCCCATCATTTTGGGAATTCTCCATGACTGTATCCCATTATTTCCATAAATTCTCTGTGTCTTTATCCCAAATTCTCAGTGTCTTTATTGCCGTTTTTCCTGGAATTTTCAGTGACTTTATCATGGATTTCCTAAAATTTTCAGTGTATTTATCATGGATTTCCTGGAATTCTCCATGATTTTATCCCATTTTTCCATGAATTCTCCATGATTTTCTTGTTTTTTTCTCCATGAATTCTCCGTGTTTTATCCCAAATTCTCGCCGTGTTGGTCCCGTTGATCTCGGCCATACCCCAAAGAGCGCGTGCAGCCAATCCTGCGCCACCTCCAACTGCTGCGATGACTGCAAACACAGCTTTTATCGGAATTCTCCATTTTCCTGGAATTCTCGGGGACTTTATCCTGTTTTCCCTAAAATTTTCGGTGTATTTATCATGGATTTTATGGAATTTTCAGTGTATTTATCATGTATTTCCTGAAATTTTCAGTGTCTTTATCATGGATTTCCAGGAATTTTCGGTGTCTTTATCATGGATTTCCATGAACCTTCAGTGACTTTATCACGGTTTTTATGGAATTTTCAGTGACTTTATTGTGGTTTTTGTGGAATTTTCAGTGGCTTTATCCTGTATTTCCTGGAATTTTCGGTGTATTTATCATGGATTTCCTGGAATTTCCAGTGTATTTATCCTGGATTTCCTGTAATTCTCCATGATTTTATCCCATTATTTCCATGAATTCTCTGTGTCTTTATCCCAAGTTCTCAGTGTCTTTATTGCAGATTTTCCTGAAATTTTCGGTGTATTTATCATGGATTTTCTGGAATTTTCAGTGACTTTATCATGTATTTTCTGGAATTTTCAGTGGGTTTATCATGTATTTCCAGGAATTTTTTGTGTCTTTATCATGTATTTTCTGGAATTCTCAGTGTCTTTATCCCATTATTTCTTGAATTCTCAATTACTTTATCCCGTTATTTCCATGAATTCTGCGTGTCTTTATCCCAAATTCTCAGTGTCTTTATCCCGGTTTTCCAGGAATTCTTGGTGTCTTTATCCAGTTTTTTTAGGAATTCTCCGTGTATTTATCCTGCATTTCCTGGAATTCGCCATGGTTTTATCCCATTTTTGCCACAAATTCTCGCCGTGTTTTTATCCCAAATTCTCAGTGTCTTCATCCATTTTTCCAGGAATTTTCAGAGTTTTTATCCCATTTTTCCATGAATTCTCCATGATTTTCTCCCGTTTTTTTCTCCATGAATTCTCCGTGTTTTATTCCAAATTCTCGCTGTGTTGATCCCGTTGATCTCGGCCGTACCCCAAAGAGAGAGTGCAGAGCCTCCTGCGCCACCTCAAACTGCTGCGATGACTGCACACGGCTTTTCCTGGGAATTCTCCATTTTCCTGGAATTCTCAAAGAGTTTATCATGGATTTTATGGAATTCTGGGTGTCATTATCCCCGTTTTCCTGGAATTTTTGGTGTCTTTATCACGTATTTTCTGGAATTTTCGGTGTCTTTATCCCATTATTGAATTCTCTATGACTTTATCCCATTATTTCCATAAATTCTCTGTGTCTTTATCCCAAATTCACAGTGTCTTTATTGCAGTTTTTCCTGCAATTTTCGGTGTCTTTATCATGGATTTTCTGGAATTTCCAGTGTATTTATCACGCTTTTCCTGGAATTCTCCATGATTTTATCCCGTTTTTACCATGAATTCTCCATGTTTTTATCCCAAATTCTCAGTGTCTTTATTACATTTTTTCCTGGAATTCTCTGTGTCTTTTATCCCATTTTTCCTGGAATTCTCCATGATTCTCTCCCGTTATTTTCTCCATGAATTCTCTGTGTTTTATCCCAAATTCTCAGTGTGTTTATCCGATTATTACAGGAATTTTCGGTGTCTTTATCACGGTTTTCCTGGAATTCTCCATGTTTTTTTCCTGTTATTTCCATGGATTCTCTGTGTCTTTATCCCAAATTTTCAGTGTCTTTATCCTGTTTTTTTTCAGGAATTCTCAGTGTCTTTATCCCATTTTTTTCTGGAATTTTTCATGTCTTTATCCCATTTTTCCTGGAATTCCCCATTACTTTATCCCATCATTTCTATGAATTCTCCATGTTTATATCCCAAATTCTCCGTGTCTTTATCCTACTATTTTGGGAATTTTCAGAGCCTTTATCCCATTTTTCCATGAATTCTCCATGATTTTCTCCCGTTATTTTCTCCATGAATTCTTGGTGTCTTTATCCCAAATTTTCGGTGTCTTTATCTTGGTTTTTAAGGAATTCTCAGTGTCTTTATCCCATTTTTTCAGTAATTTTCTGTGTCTTTATCACCGTTTTCCTGAAATTCTCCATGATTTTATCCCATTTTTACCATGAATTCTCTGTGTCTTTATCCCAAATTTTCCATGTCTTTATCCCGGATTTCCTGGAATTTTTGGTGTTTTTATCCCAGTTTTCCTAGAATTTTCGGTGTCTTTATCCCGTTTTTCCTGGAATTCTCTATGACTTTATCCCATTTTTACCATGAATTCTCCGTGTCTTTATCCCAAATTCTCAGAAAAAAAAAATTTCCCAGATTTTTTCCAGGAATTAACAACCCCC